TTTTTTTTGTCTTTTTGAGACAGGGTCTTGCCGTGCAGTTCAGGCTGGCCTTGAGCTCACTTTGTAGCCCAGGCTGGTCTTGAACTCACAGTGATCCTCCTGCCTCAGCCTCCTGAGTGCTGGGACTACAGGCATGCACCACCATGCCCAGCCAACATGTGCACTATTATGCTTGACTGATCCCAACCATCTAGGCCTAATTCGCAAGCCACTGTGGTGCCCTTTGCACCATGTTACAAAAGGGGAAACCGAGTCACAGGCTTGGCTCTATCTCCCAAGATTACAGCTGGCTGGAGGCTCCAGTGTTTTGTGAGTGGAACTTTTTTTTTTCTGGCCAGGACTGGAGCCCAGAGAGGGCAAATAACTGCCTGAGGTCACACAGCAAGTCCCCCTTCACTTCTTGGGACACACGGTGCCTCCTGTAGGCTAGGGCTCGCCTGGCTCACAGATGCCATCTCTGAGCGCCCTGGGCAGCGATCTTTTATTTTTAAACCTGTGGTGCAGCCGAGGCCTTATTATAGCCGCGGGAGGAGGCCGCAGTTTCCAGTTTCTCAAAGAGGCGGAAGGGCGTTTTTCCCCCTGCGAAGGTGCGGGCTGGCGCCCTGGGGGAGCCGCAGCAGCACCCCTGTCCCCAGCGGTGGAGTCCTCCCGGGCCCTGCGCGCCCTTCCGTCCCCGTTCCTGTCCTCTCAGCGCGCCCTGCCCTCTTCTGGGCCTGGAGGGCCCTGCGCGGGGACACGCGCGACTGCTGGGCCCGACTCCGGAGCCCGGTTCCCTGGGTCCCACCCTCCGGCTCTCCGCGGGCGACCTGCGGAATGTGCTCATTTCCCATTTTCCCATTACGGTCATTTAATACTTTTTTCTAAATAGGCGCTAAGCCAGGGGCGGCAGTGCCTGCCTGAAATCCCAGCCCCGAGGGAGGCTGAAGCAGGAGGATCACAAATAGGAGCCTGGCCTGGGCTACACAGCGACTCAGTGAAACCCTGTCTGAAAATTTTAAAAGGGCTGGGGATGGAGGGAAGGGAAGACAGGGCACCCCGGCGCTGTGCGGGGCGGCCTCCGGGAGGCGGGGACCCCAGTTACTTCGGAAAGGAGACGCAGGGCGAGGCCGGGGACAGGCGCCTCTGCTGCAGCCCAGGCAGCAGGCGTGGGATGGACGCTCCCCCCGCGGGCTCGAGGTGCCTCGATTGCCCCTCGGGCTCCCGAAGGCCTCCGCCCACTGCCAGCCTTGCTCGCAGGGCACAGGTCCGCTGCGCCAGCTGTCCCTGGCGGTCACCTCCCTGTCCCCGTCCGGATGACTCAGCTGCGCTATCTTTAACCCCGGCCCGGGACGCGCCCTCCTGGTAAACAGCGCTCGCGTCAGCGCGGGCTTCCCAGCCAGGAGGGTGGCCACTCCTGCCGTCCCGGGCCGGAAACCCGGCCTTCACACCCGCTGCATGCCCAGCCCTGCTTATTTACTTTTATTTCACTTCATTTTTTCTTCTTTTGAGGCAGCCTCACTATGCAGTTCAGGCTGGCCTCAAACTTGCAGAGATCCTCTCGCCTCAGCCTCCCGAGTGCTCAGGTGACAGGCTTGGCCGCCGGGACCCACCCCCGTCCTTTCTGGGGCTGAGTTTGCAACTTAGCGATGCGTCAGTCAGCACCCTGGCTGTGCGGCCATGTGACCTCTCCGAGGGTGATTTTCTTCACTGATAAATCTCAGATATTAACTTTTTTTTTTTTTTTTTTTGGTGGATTGTGGATCCAACCCAGGCCTTCATACTGAGCTATAGGTCAGCTCTTTCTATTTTATTTTGAAACAGAGTCTTGCTAAGTTACTCATGCTGGGCTCAAACTTGCGACCCTCTTGCCTCAGCCTCCTAAATAGCTGGGATAGCAGGTGTATCCATTTATTCCCCCAGGCCAGGGATATAGCTCAGTGGCATAAGCGCCTGCCTGGCAAGCCCAAGGTCCTGAGTTCGATTCCTGGTAAAACAAAAAAAAAAAAAAAACCTTATCATTTATTCCTTCATTTCACACTTACCTCAGGCACCCAAGCCTCCACCCCTACCCTGAGCCCCTAGAGTGATAGCTAAGCCAATCAACACCGCCCAACCTTGGCCTATGATTGGCTCAGGGATAGACACGTGACCCAGATCTGTGCAATCAGGGCCTTCGGAGGTTCCTGCCGGAAGAGGACGCTGTCTCCTCCCCGGCCAGGGCAATGAGGTCTCCCCAACTGCGGGACACTGTCCAAGGGAGCCTAGGAAATCGGCTGTCGGCCACACTGATCTGCCGGGTCGACCCTCACCTGATGCTGGCTGGAGCTCGGATTCTGCTTGGGGGCCAAGGTATGTGACTCACACACCCACAACGCGAAGACCTGAAGTTCCGAGGCAAGAGCCCGCGCTGTGGACTTAAGAGCAGGAGCTGAAGCAGCACCGCGGAGTGGGCTGGGGCGGGACCAGGCCTGTGCTGAGAGGTGTGGTGTCCCACGCCTGTCACTCCAGCTGCTGGGGAGGCCGAGGCAGGACAAACTCAAACCAGCCTGGGCAACAGAGACCCTGTCTCAAAACATAAAAGCTGAGCTGGTGGCACACACCTGTAATCCCAGCACTGGGGAGCTGAGGCAGGAGGCTCGCTGTGAGTTCAAGGCCAGAGAGTGAGACCCTGCCTGCCTCAGTCAGCCCAAAGGGAGGTGGTTCAGTGGGGAGCGGCCTGGGCTCAGCCCCAGCCCTGGGCTGCAGAAAGCGCAGTCACGCCCATCACTGTCACCGGAACTGAGTAGTCGGGAGGAAGTCTCCTCTGCCAGTACTGGATGCCGTGGTCACACCATGGCTGCCTGGTGTCACCTACTGACAGCCTGTCTGGCCCCCAAAGAAACCAGGGAACCAGGAGACAGGGAAGAGACGCCTAATCCAAAAGACCCCCCAAGCAGAGTCCTCAGCGTGGCCTTTCCCATTGTGGCTCTCGGTGGCCACAGCATGACCACTGGCCTCAGCAGGCCATCTTGGCCCTGGGCAGGAAAAGCCTGGTCCCTGTGCAGGCCGGGTTGGGGGCCAGCAGACCGGCGGCTTGTGGCAGGAGGTGTTGGCTTGGCGGCCTCCCTCCAGGGCTGCCCTGGGCCCCGGCTTTGAGAGCCCAGCACCCCTTTCTGTGTACGGCAGCACCAGCCCGGGACGAGTTTGGTGGGTTCTATTTTACTTTATTTATGGTTTCTTTGAGACAGGGTCTCACTATGTAGTGTAGGCTAGCCTCGAACTCATGGTGATCCTCCTGCCTCAGCCTCCTGAGTGCTGGGATGACAGGTGTGTGGCACCACGCGGGCTCTGTCTGTGGTGATCTGGGGATGGAGCCCAGGGTCCCACACATGTCGGGAAAGACTCACTTCGGAGGAGCACCCCAGTCCCACCCAGGGCTTTTTTTTTTTTGTCTTTTTGAGACAGGGTCTTGCTATGCAGTTCAGGCTGGCCTTGAGCTCACTTTGTAGCCGAGGATGGTCTTGAACTCTGTTTTTGTTTGTTTGTTTACCGGTACCGGGGATTGAACTCATGACCTTGCACTTGCAGGGCAGGCGCTGTGCCGCTGAGCTAAATCCCCAGCCCCTTGAACTCTCAAATATCTTCCTGCCACAGCCTCCTGAGTGCTTTCCTACTCCCACCCTGGCCCCAAGGAAGCGCGAGGCGGTTCTCTTCCAATACTTTCTTTTAATGCCACAAACGCAGCGAGGGAGACTCACGCCCTCAGGACCGCAGCTCTCGGCTCCCTGCTGTGCTCTGGAAGGGCCCGAGTGGCGCCTTCCTCCTGAGAGAAGCCAAGCCTGTCTCAGCGATAACTCATTTCCTAGCGAACACTGCAAACCCACACCTAGTTTCCTTCCCGGGCCGCCGTGGCCATAGGAGGAGCGGGCCCTCCCGCAGCCGCTCACCCCGAGGGACGGCGAGGGGGACCCGAGGCCCGATCTCGCTCGCGCCTTTGGCTCTGCGCAGCTGCGGGGGAACCTGCGGCCTGGAGCCCGCGGCGGCCCCGACGTCCGGGCGAGCCGGGCCGAGCTAAGCGCGCCGTCCCCGAGCCTTTCTCCGAAGCCCTGGGCTCGGGCCCCGGGGCAGGCCAGGGCCTGGCAAGGCCGCCCGTCCAGGCGCCTGCGGCGACAGTCTGCGGCTCCCAGCAGGAGCGCCTGTCCTGGTCAGTCGAGTCAGTGCCGAGCCAGACCCCGGGCCGGCGGCAGACTTCGCAAGTGCGGCTGCCCTTCCCGTGGCGGCCGACCTCGTCCTCGGTGAGAAGAGCAGCTGTTCTCTGCGCGCGAAGCTGGGCGGGCCGTGCAGAGGCGGGTCTGTGTCCCTGTGACCGCTCACCCAGTCCTCACCCCATCGGCGACCTCGGCCCCGCAAAACCCGCAGGCCTCGAGATGAACATCGAGCGTGACAAGATTCCTGAAAAAATAAATAGAGAAGGCAGGGGCGGCTCCGAGCTGGCGTGCGGCGCTCGGCCCGCCCTGCTTCGCAGCCCGGGGCCGGAGGCAGGAAGCGGGCCGCTTCGGCGCCGCCCTCGTTCCCAGCGCCAGGGGACGGCTCCTCCCACACCCGGCAACCGCGCGTGCGGGCCGGCGTCCTCCTCGGGTGCAGGGCCGAGGCTCGGTCTCCCTTCTCCCGCCTCCGCTCCTTCCGAGGTGAGGCGGGCGCCTGCGGCCCGGCCCCCTCCCCGCTCTGCGCAGGGCGAGGTCAGTGCAGCTCGATGAAAGCCTCCAGCTCCTCCGGGATGAAGCCTTTGTAGGGGATCTTGTTCCTGTCCAGGGCGCGGGCGGCCAGGCACTGCAGGGTGACGTAGTTGAAAGGCTGCACGGAGCTCCTGGCCAGCAGCTTCTCGTCCAGCAGCTCGTAGGCCGTCTTCTTGAAGGCATTGGTGGCGTCCATGTGGGCCCCGGCCTCGATGAGGGCGCTCATGACGGCCGGGCAGTTGTTCTGCGCCGCGATGTGCAGCGGCGTGTTGTTGTCGAAGTCCCTGCTGTCGGGGTCGGCCCCGCAGTCCAGCAGCACTTTGACCACGTGCAGCGAGGGGAAGGTGCCCACGCGGTAGCGGCCCACGTTGGTGGTCTCCTTGTCCACCGCCATGTGCAGGGGCGTGAAGCCGTTGCGGCCGCGGGGCGCGCACTTGAGCAGGCGGTAGACGGTCTGGTGCTTCAGGTGCTCCTGGCTGGGGCTGCACTGCACCTTCCCCAGCAGGTAGAGCAGGTGCAGGATGATGGCCAGCGCCTTGGTGAACTGGGCCGAGTCCCCGGGCTCCTTGGGCATCTGCAGGGCCCGCTCTACCTCCCGCACCCCTTTGGTGAGCACCCCCATGAGGTCTGCGAAGCCGATCTGCGTGCCCGGGCTGCCCTTGGCGGCCCGATCCTGCAGCACGTAGGAGAAGAGTTCGGCAAAGGACAGGAAGCTGCTGGCGGTCATGGGGCTCAGCGGCTCCAGGTTGGTTTGCTGCATGTCCAGGGCGTACTTCCACAGGCGGATGCAGCGCTCGAAGTTGCCGGAGTCGGCGTACACCGCGCCCCGGTAGCGAATGTAGTAGGACGTGTCCGGGTGCGAGGGGCCCAGGATGCGCTCGCGGATGAGCAGAGCCTGCATGCGCATCTCATCCGGGTCCGTGATCAGCGCCTCCAACTCCTGCGAGCTGTTCACCTCCCTGGAATAGTCATAGGCCAGGACCAGCTGCTGGGGCTCGGGCTTGGGCAGATACTCGCCCCCCTGGTGCCGCAGCTCCATGGCGCGCCTCCAGTGCTTCAGGGCCCCGAGCAGATCGCGCTTCTTATCCACGTAGGTGGCTCCCAGCAGCTCCAAGGCTTCCACGGCGGCCTCCCTGCTGGTGGGGCAGCAGCTCTCGTAGCACTCACCGTCGACCTGCTCCTCGGTGGAGGAGCCGCAGCGGCGCGCCCCCTGCGGGCAGCCCTGCGCCTCCCCGGGCTGCTCCTGGATGAGGTACTCCACGATGTTGGTGTGGCCGGTCACGCTGGCCGCCAGCAGCGGCGTCATGCCGTAGCCGTCGCGCTCCATGCGGGCGTTGCAGCCCAGCAGCAGCTGCAGGATCTCCAGGCTGCCGGACTCGGCGCAGTCGTGCAGGGCCGTGTTGCCCTTGGCGCTGCGCCGGTTCACCTGGGCGCCCTGCTCCAGCAGGTAGCGCGCGATCTCGCGGTGGCCCTTGTAGCACGAGATCATGAGGCACGTGTGGCCGTGCCGGTTGGCGACCTCCAGGTCGGCCTGGTGCTCCCCCACCAGGTAGCGCACCACCTCGAGGTGGCCGTCGAAGCAGGCGGCGCGCAGGGGCGTGGAGTTGGTGCGCGTGGTGCGGTTCACCGAGGCCCCGCGCCGCAGCAGGCTCCGCACCACGTCCAGGTGGCCGGCGGCCGAGGCGGCCCACAGCGGCGGGGCACCCTCGATGGTCTCGCCATCGAAGTGCACCGAGCCGCCGGCCTCCACGCTCGCGCCGCACCGGTCCACCAGGTACTCCACCACGTCCAGGTGGCCGTAGCGGGCGGCGATGAGCAGCGGCGTCCCCCCGGTCGCCACCTCGCCCATCAGCTCGTCCAGCTCCTCCCGGCTCCGGCCGCTGAGCAGCTTCTGGAGCAGCTGCAGCTTGCCGTCGTGAGCGGCATTGTACACGGCGGTGTGGAGGTCCATGGTCTGGGCCGCCGTCAGGCCATGGGCCGGCCGCGGGGGGGACAGGGAGCCGGCAGTTACAGCCCGAAGGAGCGGGCGACAACCTTCACCGTCTCCCTCGCCGCCATCTTAGGGGCACTCCGGGCGGAACAAAATGGCCGCAGCGACCTGACGCCCGTTGGCGTACTTAGGGATGCCGGGAGATGGTGTCCTCTGCGCAGGCCAGTTCCATAAAACACACGCAGAGCGGTAGAAACTGTGGACTACATTGCCCAGAAAGGATGGGGACCAACCTCAGGGACCGTGAGCACGGTGCATGGTGGGAATTGTCGTTCCAATTGCCCCGGGTCGCCGCGGAAACCTGCTGTTAAAGGACTACCATTCCCGGCATGCCATGTCATTCTCCGCTATCACTTGGGCGACTCAGGGAAATTTGGTGACGTACTTCCTGTTTCTGTCGTTTGTGCTGGAGCCGACAGGAAGCGCAGACGAGGCCCCCGGAAGACTCCATTCCCCAGAAAGTAGTGCGAGTGACTCGAGCAGAGGCTAAATGGGCCTGGCGGATCTGTCTAGGGCTTGACGTCGGGGGGAGGCAGTAACCGGCAGAGGGCGCGCGATAGAGTCGGGAAAGTCGCCTGTGGCATGGACCTTAGGGGGAGCTGCGAGGACACAAGGTGATCAGGATCAATCGCTCATTTTTCGCGCACTCATTCATTGTCATACATCTGATTCATTCATTCATTCATTCATTCATTCATTCATTCATTCATTCATGTATGTTTTTTCCGGTACCGCGAATCGAACTCACGACGTTGCGCTTGCCAGGCAGGCGCTGTTACATTTATTTTTATTGTACCGCCTATTAGGTGTCTGTCTCTTTGTGTCTGTGCCTGCCTCTCTCTGTTTCTCTCGATCGTACCGAGCCTTTATACTTTTCATCTTTTAACACAGAAGTCCTCCTGTTTCGGCCTCCCAAATAGCTGGGATAACAGGGGTGCACCACTATGCAAGGCTGGTCATTACCTTTTATTGCTAAACCATACTCCATTGTGTGGACGATCCAGTTTGTTTATCCATTACTTACGCTTATTCCTTGTCTTCGCTGATTGAAATAAAGCTGCTATGAATTTTTGCATACCATGGAACCATATTTTCATTGTGTCTTGGGTGATACCTACGAAGGAAATTATTTTTAATTTGCGAGCTGTTACTGAATTTTTCACGTATTTTTCCTTCTCTCCTTTAGGAAGTCTGGAAGTCTTGATCCACGACCTCTTCTGTTGAAAACGACCAAGTCACTGATGTGTTAGAACATGACGAACCATTTTCTAACAGGATTTTGTGTCCTTTTCTCCTCAGTACTGGAGATGGAGCCCAGGGCTTTCACACTGAGTTACACCCTCAGTCCTTTGTTATTGCTTGAACTTGCAATCTTCCTGTCTCAGCCTTTCAGATGCTGGTATGACAGCCATGTGCCACTGTGCCTTGCTTCAAGATCTTTTGAGTGCGGTTGAGAGTAGGAACATCAGCAGTGAAATCAGATCTCTTAACCTTTTGAACACAGAATACTAAATTCTGATTTAAACGTCACGTGGGTGTCTGTCACTAAGGGCTTTGCTGTATCTTAAATCCCTCTCCACAGTTGGCAACGTCCTGCTGTATAATTGTTCTCTGCACAAGTAATTACAGGGTTTATTTGAAAAATTAATTCACCAGCAGGAACAACGTCGGAATGGGAGAGCCACTGAAAGCTACATATGAACTATCTGCTTTCATTTGTTTGTTTTGAGACAGGGTCTCGCTATGCAGTTCAGGCTGGCCTTGAGCTCACTTCGTAGCCCAGGCTGGTTTCAAACTCTCAACGATTCTCCTGCCTCAGCCTCCCGAGTGCTGGGATTATGGGAGTGCACCATCAAGGTGGTCAGAGTGCACACGAGGCTGGCATAGGACCGTGTAGGGACATGAGAGTCCCAGCGAGGTGGCCCATGGTCAACCTCTGGGACATTTCTTAGTGTCTCTTAGGGCTTTTTTTGGAGACAGGGTCTTGCTATATAGTTTAGGCTGGCCTTGAATTCACCATGTTTCCCAGACTGGTCTCAAACTCAAGGTGATCCTCCTGCCTCAGCCTCCCAAGTGTTGGGATTACAGGCGTGCATCACCACACCTACCTTCTCAGAGCATTTTATACAGCAGAAAGGCTAAGCATCTTGAGTGAAAATACTTTATTAGCCATGTGTCCCCCATCACAGCCAAGATGTCCTTTCTGATGAGACTGGCCACGTTCAGGGTAGTAAGGCCGTAGACAAGATGTCACTTCTGGAAACTGAATTCCTGGGTCCAACTGGCAGGACCCTGCCCAGCATGAGTTGTTCAGAGTCCTTGAATTTGGCTTTCTCAAGTATAAAATGGGGATACAGGAGCTGTGCGAGGCATGAGAGGGAAAAGTGTTAGCCAGCTTTCCGTTACTGAGTTGAAATGCCTGAGTATAACAACCTGAAGGCATGGGGTGTTGAGCTTAATTGCATCAACTTGGCCCGGGCACTCCAGAGCAGGTTAGCCAAGCGCTAATCGGTGTGCTGGGTGGGTCACGGCGCTGTGACCGGGGGACCTCAGTCTGGTCCCTCAGCCCTTCCTCTCTCGCAGTGTTTCCCTGGTTCCCTTCTGGGCACCATCTTTGCTCCTCCGTGCTCTTCCACCATGACGTCTCTGGCTCGGAACCAGCCAACCGCGGACGGACTTCCCTGACTACGAGCCAGACTGAACTCCGCTTGCTTCAGGTTGCAGGTGTGGGGCATGAGGCCTCAGGGGCAGAGAAGCCGCCTCCTGTGGAGAGGAGGTCTGTTCTGGCTCCGCGGCCTTTACATGTAGCAAGGCGAGAGCATCGGGACAGGAATCAGCTCGCCGTGCAGCATCCCTGGAGCGGAGCGGGAGGGAGAGAGCCGGGAGGAAGAGGCCGTGGAACAGATAGAGCCCCCAGCTCATGTCCCCAGTGAGAGGTCCCTGCTCGGGTATGAATTGCTGAATTATTACGGTGGTGGCGGTCTAACGCCCAAAGCAACAGCTTATCCTCCCAGTAACTGTCCCCTCCTTTTTTCCTCCCCTCAGCCCGGACTACATTCTCTTGCCCTCCCCGCGTGTGTGAAGAACCCCCAATCAGCTCCTGATACGTCACTAAGCCCGCCCCTTAAACTCTGCCCCTACCCAGAGTCTTTATAAACCTTGAGCAGCTCCCTTATTTAGCCCGGGAGGAGTATGGTGCCCTATGATACCCATTTTTCTCCATGTCCAGAGTAAAGGCCTTCTTTCACTCCTTCGTTTGGTCCTTTTCTGCACCAGAAACCTAACACCCATGACCCAATATCTTCAAGTAGGCCCCACTTTCTGTCTCCATTGTCTCAATGCCATCAGGTTAGGAATCCATCAAAGAGCCCATCCTTCTCCTTTCCCACTGGGCCTAAACCTTCAACACATGAGTATTGTCCAGGTCCCAAGCATGACAGACCACGCGTCTAGAAGTTTTCTGTACAGCCAGACATGGTGGCACACACCTATAAGCTCAGCATCTGGGAGGCTGAGGCAGGAGGGTTGCAGTGAGTTCAAGGCCAACCTGGACTACATGGTGAAACCCTGCCTCACAACAAAACAAAAGTATGAAAGTGCTCTATAAACTCCAGTGCTTGTGGTGTTGGAGATCCGAAGGGGATTCTTCCACTGATCACCTCGTGCAGCTGGCAACATTGTCGCCCTTGTTGTATTCGTTGCAAGAACCGTCCCATCAGAGTGCCACTCTGCGTGGCTTATGCAATAGGCACACATTCCTCAGGGTTCTGTGGGCTGGACGTCCCAGGCCGCAGCGTGGGCGGGGCTGACGTTCCGTGGAGCCTCAGCCTGACCTGCCGCCGGCTACTGTCTCCCGAGACCTCGCACGGCCTGGCCGCGGTGCGCACCTCTGCAGGAGGTGCCCCCTTCTTCTTTTCCTTCTTTTTCTCCTCTCCTCCTCCTTTCCTGCCTCCGCTCTGCTTCCTCTTTCGGTTCCTCCATCACCACCCCCCATCTCCTCCTTCCTATTCACTTCTCCTTCTTTGTCTTTTTCTCTTCTCTCCTCTTCCTCCTCCTCCTCTTTCTGTGAAGGACACTGAAACTATGATCTAAAAACTTAATAAAATCAATGACTGCCCCGCCACTAAAGGAGCCAAATAGGCCGGGGACATAGCTCAGTGGCAATAAATAAATAAATAAATAAATAAAGGAGCCAAATGACCTCCAACAGACCAGAAGTACAGGCGGTGGGGGAAGGGCCGGAGACCGTCGGGATTGCGGGGACTGCGGGGAGGAGCGGGAAGGGAGCTGCGGGGACCCTGAGGTTGCAGAGTGGGTGTGGCTGGGTGAGAGACCCCCACCGGCGCGCAGCTCCCAGGAGGCGAGCCGCGGCTGCACCTTCTCCATAGCGAGGAGAGGACGCGCCCCATCTCTGCAAACTCTGGAGACTTGGCCCTGGCGCAGCGGGTGGGGGGCTCCCCAGAGCCTCAAAGGAGCCGTGGCAACGCTGCTCCTCCCTGAGGCATCTGTCCCAGGACTGCTTGGTGCTGGTCCGCGCGCCTGTCCCCCAGCCGTCCCCAGAGCTCTTCTCCCTCTAACTCTGAAACCGACCGAAGACCACAGGCGCTCTAAGGCCCCCCGCACTCGGGCTTCCGGTCCAGCCCTGCTCCAGCCGGTCCCGGGCTGCTCCCCATGGGCCCTGCGAGGAAGCTGCGGAGCTTTGGGGAGGGTGTCAGCGTGAGCGGGCTCGGCCTGCAGCTCCGGCTCCACAGGGGCTCCTCCGGGCCCTCGGCCGATCTCACCCTCTCCTCTAGCCGTGAGCCCGGCTTCAGTTCTGCCCTACATTCTGGTCCGGACACAAGTGATGGTGGGTTACGGTTCTTTCCTTAAACCGCGGGCTAACTCAGTGACCTCCCAAATGTCCACCTCCAGAACAGTCAGGGAGTTAGGACTGCAAGATATGAATTTGGTGGGGTGGGGGAAGGAACACGGTTGATTCCATAAAAGTACGTTTTAGTCCATAACAATGTTTATATCATCGCCATCACCAGCGTCACTGCCATCA